CATATAATTTGGATTTATCTTTTTGAATATTTAATCTTCTATAGATTTTATTCTTGAGTCCCAACTTAGTATATCTTTCAACTCGTGTGATTTATATTTTTTGTACCTTTGTTTGATTTCTTTTACGCTGTTGTAGAATAGTTGATGGATCTATACTCTAGCCATCTCTTTTTTTTTTTTTTAATTCATCACCCTTTAAACAGTAAAAATGTCTAGATAGTTTTGATAAGTCCAATAAAATAATGTATGTTATTGCATTCTACTTCTACTGGTGAATTTTAAATGATATAAAAAAATACCGNATAAAAAAATACCCGAAAATTAACCGAACCGTACCGATACCGAAGAGAAACCGACATGATTGGGACGATTTCGAAAAGTCTAATTTTGGTTATACATAATAGAATAACCGAAAAATTGGTATGGTACAAATTTTATAAAATAACCGGCCGAACCGAACCATTGACACCCCTACCTTTGTTATATATAGCCATATAGCCTAGCCCTTGAATAATCAAGTCTTGGAGGGAGATTGAAGAAACTTTCATATATTGAAGCTATATCTAAGTGTTGTGGTAGATTCTGGACAAATGATCATCTAGATTCTAGACAAATGATCATCTATATTTGAATCTGCCACCTCACTTAGATCTGATTTCAATCTATGATTATTGCGTATTGATCCGCCATTGATAACTACGTTACAGGTATTCTTTTGTGTTCTTTCTTTAATAGTAATTGTTTTCAGCCTAGTAGAACAAAACATATTTGGGTGATATAAATCTTAGTTCTTCAGGGACATCTGATAAAGTAACGCAAATCTTGATTATGATGTTCATAGTTTAAGAATTGCAAAATATTTTGTTTATGATGTTTATTTGCAGCATGAATTTATGGGAAATACCCACAAATCAATGCTGTCTAATAATGGAAATATGAAGTAGCAAAAGAAGATGTTGACAAAGAATAGGACCGTAAACGCTTTCGCAATTTCGTACCTATTTCTTCATGGTAATGGTTAGAAGAAATTCAGTACTACTAATTTGTTAAGCCAACAAGTCAAATTTCTTTTAAGCATCACTATAGCGGTAAGCATGCCTCATGACTTAAACTAATTATCACTTCAACACAAAGAAGTAACTATAACTAGTCTATAACATATTGTATATAGATGTTCCAATCAGTAGCACTCACTGGTTAGAATTCAGATGGGAGCAACTGCGTCTAACTTCTCCTCGAGATCCAGTAAGAACACCAAAATCTGACAATTTAGCCATGATATGAGCAAACTCTGTTCGGAACATAGTCCCGTCATCCGAAGCATAATCAATCACCACTGCTGCAGTCTTTTCATTAGCCATCAACTGTTGATCAGCAAACAGTAGTCCTCTTCCTCTCATCAAAGTCTTGTAGTAGTGGTTATCAAATCAAGCTCCAACAGTGAACAGTCCCTGGGAGTATGACATAGCATGCTCACTTAGACTCCTAGCTGTATGCTCATTGAACATATTGTTGATGGTGTTGTTATTGTCTGGACACTTTCGCTTCAACTCTTCAAGGAAGTCACAGGGAATTGTTGGATCAGGTAAATTTGTCCCCATGAAATTACTGAGCCTTGGCCGAATGAATTCACAACCAATCTTTCCAATGTTATGTCCTCCTTCAGGCGATGAAGAAAAAAAGCTTAGAAATTTCAAAAAAATATATTACAAGAAGATGCAACATCTTAAGACTAAAGAAATGAGAACAGAAAGATTACCAAGGGCCACAGTTTCCCTCTCGTCAAATCCTCTTAACTCTTAAGGAAAATAGCCTAAGAGTTTCACTGATATACCATTTGGCCGCGGAATTTCAGCCATGGCCTTATCAAAGAATGACTCTGTACTGTCCCTTCTGCCCGTTAACACAGGATAATATGGTCCACCAGCCTAAGATGTAGGAAAACAGTACATGATAAGGGAACATTGCAGAATGTTAAGATTTTGGAGAAAAAATAAAATAAAGACCAATGATCCTAATTTCAGGTCTCTATCAAGCTCAAGCTTGAAAGCATCAAAAGATCAAATTGCTATCTTGAAAGAGATTCTGATGAGTCTTTTTGTCTTAAATTTTTGATGACCTTGTTTATACTATGCAATCTTTGGTTTCTGCTTCATTCATGAATGCACTTCTTGTGTTCAACTTGTACAAAATAACCGTCAGTTTTGAGGCAAACTGTCTTGAGTTTCCTACTGTAGGTTTTAAACTTATTGATTCTGTCTAAATTTATGGCCAATGACTCTGAAAGTCAGCTCTTTCTCAGCGCATAAAATTAGTTCTCATCTAAAGTGCTTAAGCATTTGATGCAGACGCTATCTTCTCTTTATGTTTATACCAAACTGAGAGTTCAATTGTTTCATTTTTAAAATATCCAAGAGTATCTACTGCTATATGGAACTTATGTAACTCATATTAGGCTCAAGCTCTCACCTCGAACCAATACAGTTTCGATGTATCAAAACCTTGTGAGCTTGGGCTATACCAAATGAACTAGCTTGAGTTATAAAAACTCCCAATTGATCAATTCTTTGCAACAAGCTCACACACTTGTGAATAGTAACCTTTTGAATTTCTAGTATGGACTTTCTTTAACGACTCGTTCCTCACCACTTCAATGAAATCCTAAATGGACTTTCTTCCAACAGAAATGGCTCCTCTAAGAATTTACTTTTCTCCTTCCCATCCACATTGTCACCGGATCATCTGAATCGTCATAACCATCTTTCACGAGTGGCCTATATCCTTATCGGCCTGAGCAGCGCCTTGCCGCCTTGTCAAGATTGCAACTGGCAAAACTATGCAATCCATGAAGTGAAAAGAAAAATGGGAAGCACTTCTCTAGCTAATAATTGGTCACTTTTATATATTATTTTGTATGAGATCGTTTTATCTTTTCGGGAGGCAGTGGAGTGGGTTATAGTTATTTTGTTAAATCTTATCAATACATTCTTGTGGGAAATTCAGTAAAATAGACAGTTAAGAGTAGCATAGCCTTACAGTCATGGTATCTACAGTTACCAGAAAAATAAATATAAAAAAATAAAAAAAGCCAGAGATTAAAAGGTGGAGGAAAAATAAATTCAATAATGAGAGAAACAGTTATAAAAAAAATCAATAACGAGGAGACAAGCCTACATAATTGTCAATAGTGTCGTTTGGACAATATTCTGACACAACAAAAACTAAAATAAAAATTAGAGAGGCTTTTGTTCGTAAAGAGTTATTGTATGAAGGTAAGGATTGAATTAGCCAGCCAATGAGTAGTGTAAGTATGTAATGGAAACAAAGAACATATAGACATTCTAATTAAGATAAGATAATTTCTGTAGTTCTCAATGTCAGTTTTCCTGGAAAGAGATCTGTTTAAGTGAGAAGAGCATATTTTATACTTTACTTTCTTAGTAATGGTAGGAATAGGTGATAGAAAAAAACAAATGGTAGGTCCAATGGAGCTTATGAAAAAGCATGGTGACAAGTTTGCCATAAGTGTGACTTGTTCCCCATCTTAAGCTTCAAACAGCTCTACATATTGACGGGACGGGAAGGGGTTGCTCAGATGGACAACACCTCCAACCTACAACACTATGGTCATGGGTTCGAGTCACCAAAGGAGCAATAGCTCCAATAAAAGGGGATCAAAGGGGAATTAAAGGGGAGAAGAAATAAAATAAACAACTCTACATCTTACATTTAGACACTGATAATAGCCAATTTAGTTCAAAATTAAAAGCTAGAAGAAACTTCCCATGATGAATAGTTTTTAAATAATTACATATTATATCACTATCAGAACTGCACTGTTAACAAATGATACCACTGGAAGGTATCAAAAGTTTTTGTTATGTATTAGGAACATTTGAATGTGCACAACAAGATTTTTTTAATGAAATTAATAATGAGAAAAATGGAATACATGCCGGTGCATAAATTACACATACAAATCTGTATAAGAATAATAATTATAAAAAAGAAACTTCAGGTAGTTACTAAAAGAAACAAAAAATAAGGCCAGACTCATACCAGAATGATGCCATCTCTTGTTGCAAGGACAAGTTATATCAGAACAAGAGACGACCCCAGAGCATGCCTCCTCAATTTCATCCTTTATCATGTCGATGAAATTGAACCCTTTCAGTGTCCGAGTTGGGATCGCCTCACGTTCAACAGTTCCATTCTTACTACTGTCAGCAAGCAGAACAGATGCACCGCAGCCCTGTAATATATGAACAGAACAAGAAATTTTCATAAACATAAGAACTTAGAAAGAAAAATCAAAGATATTATATCGAATTTTGACTGTCTTCACAGGTGACGTTAGCAGCTGTCTAAGTCTTAGAGTGACTAGTGAGATTTAAGCATAAAAAGTTTATTGAAATTAAAAATCTTCAACTTTTCCTATAAAGTAAAAGGAATGCTGAACTCAGTAAGCGAGGAGAGAAGAGTGGTAATGCTGAACAATATAGAGTTAGAATAAGAGTGCGCATTTAAAACTCAAAGAGCAACTGACAGTAGAAACCTCATCCAAATCAAACAACTAAGATGAGTCACAAATATACATGATAAGTTACAAAGAATGACGAGCGCATGGCTCACAAATTAAGATAAAAAATAAATTAACAAGAAAGAAAACATCCACAAATACATTGAGGAAATACAAGCGCTATTGCCTACATCAGGAACTAGAGGGCTGGCCACGAAAGAATAAAACGTCCAAAGAATTGTATGCACGGGCATAAGTACAGATAAAACCACATGTTTCTGAAAATAGGAATGAAAACAGTAAATGACTGATTTTGAGCAGTTAAAGTATCCTTGACTTAGAAAAGACTAACGCAAGGCATGAGAACACAAAGCTGAAGAATACAACAGATGAAGAATTACAAGGCTAAATAAAGAAATGTCAAAGAAATACCAAAAATGTCAGAGAAAATAAAAATAAACTCAGCATTCATTACATGCAAGGAAAATATTAGAGTAAGATAAGGCCTGAAATAGATTAGAAGTAATTTCCATTGGGATCACAATCACTTACAGAATAGAACCAAAAAAACAGTAAGAAGTGCAAAAACTAACATCATATTAAGACTTCCTAAATGCTTTCTTGGCTAAGTTCCTCCCCATCTCCAACCCCTAAAAGAAAAAAAGTAAACATAGTGCTAAAACCCAGAAAACACCGATTAAATGAACTAAAACAATCTAATACAATGCACAAAAGAGAAAAAGAAAAACACACATCAAGAATCCGAAAATTGCAACAAAGTAACAAAATATCGAGCTTAAAGAAATTATAGACTAAGATAAAATGAAACAAGAAAATGGAGAGTAAATGGGAGAGTACGACATTTACCCCAACGAAACAATCATGGAAGAGAAGACGCAAGAGTTGGGCGGGTGCATTGTGTTGCATTAGCACTATTCTGTGCATCGTAGGCCATACTATTTCCTCCACATCCCTTTCACATTTATCCTCATAATAATTATATCTGAGTGTTGAGGCAGTTAAAGCGTCACTTTCTGGCGCAATCTCTGTTTGGGCACTCATAGAGAAGAAGACCGTCATTACAGCCCCTTTCTTGCTCCACATTTTGAATGAATTGGAAAATGACTTAGGGGTCGTTTGGTAGGGGTTTGGTAGGGTGTATAAGAATAATGCTAAATAAGGTGCATTAGTAATGCAGGGGTTAGTAATGCATGAGCTAGTAATGCAAGTATTAGTTATACAGAGATTATTTTTTATGCATTGTTTGGTGTGGTGTATTAAAAATTAAGATGCATTGCATAATTTTTAAGAAATTTAATTGTTTACAAAAATGCCCTCCATATCTTTTAACTTACCCTTTAAGGATAATTTTATCTTTAACCATGCTAATGCATGCATTAATAGCCTTTATATAGCTAATGTTATGGTTTTCTATGTATTAGCTATACATATGATAATACCAAATAAAGTGTTATACATAGGTTGAAAAAGTGTACCAAACAAAGCATTACTAATACACAAAGCTAATGCATACATTATTTTCGTACTCTACCAAACGACCTCTGACAGAGAAAGTGGTGGATTGGCGACTGTGGACTGATACCTGAGCACCACTATATATACACCGTTTTACATGTGGGATTATGATATTTAATAGGCTTTTCTCTTCTTATTATTTGTTACTAGTACTCGTACCCGCGCGATGCGTGGTCAATATTAATTAAATTAAACTATAATCGGGCTTGTTTAATCCTATTAGATCGTATTGCTTTAATAAATTTTAATTGTCTTCTTGTTTGTCAATACGATATACCCAATAATGAAATCTCTATTAAATCAAAGGTACTTAAATAGTCAGTGAATAACTTTTTTGTTCTATATTTTGCTTTATTATATTAACAAATCTTTAGTATTATTACGTTGTTAATAAAAAAATTTATTAGTATATTACTTTGTTTACTATTTTTATCTGCTCGCTTTCTTTTTGTAATATATGAGAAGATATATAATTTATTACTATTGAAATATTTTTTTATTTTAAATTTTATTCTGTTGTTATTAATAATATTATCTAAATTTTAATGAATAAAATCTCTATTAAACTAAAGGGACTTGTATAAGTGTGATGACCCGAAAGGTCATCACTAGTTTTAGAAACAAATTCTATGTTCTGAGGGCTAAAAACCTCTTTTTGTCTCACCTTGATTTGTGTGCGCAGTCCGTACGTGTATCCGGAAAGCTATCATGTGAAAATCTGTGAAAATGATGAATTTTGCTTTTAAAATGAATTATGATTGACTTCAGTCAATTTTTTGGGTGAACGAATCCGAACCCGTGATTTGACGTTCTCGGAGGGTCCGTAGGAAAATATGGGACTTGGGTGTATGCCCGGAATCGAATTCCGAGGTCCCAGGCCCGAGAAATGAATTTTTGAAAGAAATTATTTTGCTGAAAATATAAGAGTTCTTGGAAATTTGATTATATTTGAAATTTATGGTATCAGACCCGTATTTTGGTTCTGGAACCCGGTATAGGTTCAATATGACATTTAAGATGCGTCTGTAAAATTTGGTAAGAAACGAAAGTCGTTTGATGCGATTCGGACCCGTAGTTGTGAGATTTAAAACTTTGGAAGTTTTTAGATTTTTCCTTGATTTTTATGCTAAATTCGTTATTTAAGATGTTATTTTGGCGATTTGATCGCACGAGTAAGTTCGTAGGATGTTTTTGAGGTAGTGTACATGTTTGGTTTGGAGCACCGAGGGCTCGGGTGAGTTTCGGATGGTTTTTGGGATGTTTTTAAACTTGGAAATGTTGCAGGTTTTCAGTTTCTGGTACACAGAGATTTTGTGCTTCGCATTCGCGTGGCTTCACTCGCGAACGCGGAAGGCAATATTCCTCAGGTAAAAAATTATTCTTCGCGAATGCGGAGCTTGGGACGCGAACGCGAGGCTGTGGGGGGAGTACCCTTCGCGAACGCATCCAAGCCCTCGTGAATACGTAGGGTTAGTGGCATGGGGGAGGGATTTCAAATTTACTCTAAGCGAACGCGGCCATCCGACCGCAAACGTGATGGCTCTGGGAACTGAAGCTCCGTGAACACGGCCACCCGACCGCGAACGTGATGGCTCTAGGAGCTGAAGCTCCGCGAATGCGAGCCTCTGATCGCGAACGTGATGGTCAACTGGGCCTGACCCATCGCGAACGCGACAGGCCCATCGCGAACGTGACAGGCCCATCGCGAACGCGACAGGCCCATTGCGAACGCGATGAAGGCCTGCCCAGTTATTTTAAAACAGTAGCAAAATGGGATTTCTTCAAAACTTCATAACCTTTTCACTTAAACTCGAACTTGGGCGATTTTTGAAGAGGGATTTCACCACAAAATCATAGGAATGTGTTCTTAGACTTGATTTCTTCAATTTCCATTAACACCCATTAGAGTTCTAGGCCTAAATCATGTTCTTAAGGGTAGAAAATTGGGGGTTTGGGTAGAGTTAGGGCTTTTTGAATAATTGGAATTTAGACCTCGTTTTGGAGTCGGATTCCGAAACTAATTACATATTCGGGCTCGTGGGCCCTGTTGATACCCAATTTTTTTCTATATATTTTTAATTTGCATAAATACCTTCAAAATAGCATATATATGATATATAAGCATGCACAAGGTTTTATAATTTTTTTCATAATTTTAAGGATTTAAATTGATTTATTTCCTTCCGTTTATTTCATAAAATCCCCAATAATTATCCCTCAAATTATTGTTGTGGCGATTTAGTCATTTAATTTCTATATTAATGTCAAAATATGATTAAAATATTTTTTTATGCATTTTATAATTGCATTATGTATTTTTAAAGCTAAATTGCATATAATTGCAATATTAGCCCCATTAATGTATAATTACATTTATATGCGTAAAATTGATCTCCTATATTCTTAAAATGTTAAATATCTATTTTAAATTAATTTAGTACACAAAATTATTTTCCAGAAATTATTTAGCATTTATTATTATATATGGGAAAATTGGCTATTTAAAATATAGCCAGATTTGCATTTCAATTGTAGCTCAATTTAAACCCAACCCCAGCCCAGTTTCAGATTAAAAACACCCGACCCAAGCTCTAAACCCGCATACCCGACCCAAAGCCGTATTAAATCCTGGTCGTTGATCTAAAAGATCAACGACCCTCGTCCGTTCTTACCATTTTTAATTCCAAACGACCTTAACCCTAGCTCATTGTTTAGATATCGCCGCCTCTGTATTCTCTCATCTCCTCTCCTCTCTCAACCACTCAACCTAACCCTAGCTCCTTCAACCGCTGACCTTCTTCTCCGGTCTTCTCCGGTGATCTCCCTTCAACTCCTAAGCCTCCAATGGCTCCTCTAATGCTATGCTTGCCTTCTATAAGGTCTTCAAGGGCCCTGGGCCACACTGACTTGCATCTAGGGTTTTCTATTTGTCTATTCTTGGCTACTTCAATATGATTTCGAGCAAAATCATGTTGTACTTGTTATGATCCTTGAGATTTTAGACAGGTTCTTTCATCTCTACTTGGGTTTCTTCTGAAACACTAAGTTTTGCTTACATCTCCTTGATCTGTACGATTCCTAAACGTTTCTTTGATGTTTTACACTATCCTTTTAACTCTTTACAAGAATCATCGATTTCAAAGTGTTTTCACCTTCTTCTAAAATTAGGGTTTTCGGAACTTCTTCTAAAACCTTGTTTATACCGATTATTTATGTTTAAACTTCTATCTCTTGCATATTTCGACTGATTCTATGATTTTACTACCTCTTCAACTTGCCTATGTTGAAAGCCCTAATTTTTCTAGGTTTCTTCGTTTGATTTTGTGACTATCCTATTCTTGTTTGAGTTTCTGTGACTACTTTACTTCGAATGTGTTTTCTACTGAGTTTCTTATGCCTAACTTATATCATCTCTGTATGTTTATGTTCATCTTGATTGTTCAGACTTGCCTCTTTCTATCGATATTGTTTAACCTGCATGTTTGCTATGACTGATTATTCTTATTTTACTCTATTTATATGCTAAATACTGAATCATGACTTCCACTTTGATTGATTCTGGATTTACTATTTTATGGTTTGATTTAAAGACCTTCCTTCAAACCCTCAATTTCTACCTCTTCTATTCAAATTAACTGATTCGCCTACCTTCTCTACTGTGGTACTTTATTCTTACCGACTATTTCCTTAATTAAGAGTATTCTGAATTTAGCCGTAATTGTATACCCTATACTTACTGAATTTGATTCTTTCCATATTAGTCATACACTGATTTCTTTCCTTATATGCTACTTGTTCCTACCGTTTGAATTGATTACCTTGACTTAAGGGAGTACTTGTCCTGATTTTGCTCTAATTGGTTCTGAGTTCCATAATTGTTATGCTACTATGATTCTTGCCTTATTTTTATCTAATTTTGAACTACTATATATAAACACTCTCTCATTAACACAAAGGGACGAACACTTTGGCTCAAAAGCTCTCTCTCTTTCACACTTAAACTTTCTGCTCTCTCTCTCTTTAGTGCTACTTACTACTATTCTGAGTTTGCCGGCTGCAAGCCAAGGCTAACTATTGTGCTCTCCTACTCTTTCACTCTTGCTTACTGTCTTCTTTACTGGTATGTTCTAATTTCAGTTCAAGTTCCAAAAACAATATGGTTCTTTTATTGCTTCAGTTCATCCTATTTCTAGTTTGCTTTTACTTATGGTTTTGCTATGAAACCTGCAATTAATATGATTACCTGATTAGCATGTAATGTACTCTCCTTCCTTCGGATCAGTGTAAACATGTTACCCCCTATATGTCTGATGAATTGTTTCTGAGCATGTCTGTACCAATTACCTCTGCCTGTTATGTATTTACCATCATATGTTCCATGTATCCCCAATCCTTATCACCCCTGTATGTAGGTTTGTTCCTTATGTTTGGTTCTGTGCTCTTTAAGCATTGCTGATGTGGTTTTGGACTTCATGTTTGATTTACTATTGTCTAATCATGCAACTCTCTTTTCAAAATTATTTTACTGCATGACTCCTTCTTTT